TTGGTCCAGTTGTGAGGATTTTTGTTTTCTTTATGTTGAGGTTCAACCTATACTGAAGTCTGTGGTCTTTGATCTTAATCAGCAAATATTTCAAGTCTTCTTTGCTTTCAGGTTGTGTTATCTGCATGTCACAGGTTGTTAATGACTTTTCTTCCAATCCTGGTGCCCATTCTTCTACATATAATCCATATTCTCAGATTATTTGTTCAGCATGCACAATGAATAAATATGATGCACACAGTTCCTGATTTTAAATTATACAGTGTCCCTTGCTCTGTTCGAGTGACTGCCTTTTGGTCTATATACAGGTTCCACATGAGCACGACTCAGCGTTCTGGAATACTCACTCTTCACAATGTTATCCATAGTTTGTTGTGCTCCACATAGTCAAATGCCTTTGCATAGTTAATAAAGCACAGGTAAACATCTTTCTAGTACTCTCTGCTTTCAGCCAGGATCCATTTGACGTCAGCAATGGCATACCTAGTTCCACTTCCTCTTCTGAATACTGCTTGAATTTCTGGCAGCTCCCTGTCAATAGATTGCTACAATAGTTTTTAAAATTATTTTTGGCAAAATTTTACTTGCACGTGATATTAATGATTTTGTTTGATAATTACCACATTCCATTGGGTCACCTTTCTTTGGAATGGACACAAATATGGATTTCTTTCAATCAGTTGGTCTGGTAGCTGTCTTCCACATTTCTTGGCATAGACGAGTGAGTGCCTCCAGTGCTGTATCAGTTTGTTGAAACATTTCAGTTTGTATTTCATCTATTCCTATTGTTGTTAAGTGTCGTTGAATCAATTGTGACTCATAGCGACCCTGTATAGGATTTCCGAGGAGTGGCTGGTAGATTTGAACCCTTAACTTGTGGTTAATAGTTTAGTGCTTATCTTATAGTGCCATACCAGTATTCCAAACTGTCAAGCACCTCCTTTGAATCTTGTTTTTCACCAATGCTTTTAGAGCTTGGACTTCTTCCTTCGATACCATCGGTTCTTGATCAGATGCTACCTATTGAGATGCTCGAACATCAACCAGTTCTTTCTGGTACAGTGACTCGGTTATTCCTTCCATCATTCACTATTGTGTCCATAAAATCCTTCAATATTGCAACCTGAGACTTGAATTTTTTTTCTTCAGTTCTTTCGGCTTGAGAAATGCTCTTACCTTTTTTGGTGGTCTAACTCCAAGTCTTTGCACATTTCATTATAATATTTGACTTTGTCTTCTTGAGGTGCTTTGTTAAAATTTCTGTTTAGGTTGTTAATTCATCATTTCTTCTCATTGCTTTTGCTTCTCAGTGCTGAAGAGCAAGTTTCAGAGTCTCTTCTGTCATCCACTTTGAATGACCTTTTGCTTTCTTTATGTATGATGTTCTTGATGCCATCCCACAACTCTTCTGGTTAGGGGTCATTAATGTCTAATGCATCAAATCTATTCTTGAGATAGTCTCTAAATTCATGCGGGAATATACTCACCTGAATTTCTCATTTAGGAACCTAGAAATCTGAATTCAGGGTTCTGGCGTTAGTGGAAAGCTTTCTCTCTGGCAGCTCTGGAGAAAGGCTCTTCTCTCTTTGAGCTTTTGCTCCTGGGTGATCTTCATGTGGTTTGGCATCTCTTTTCCTGCTCGCTTGTTTAATCTCTTTTACATCTCAAGAGAGATTGACTTGATAGATTATACATTAATTAATGAAAAATGACAGAAAGGAAAAAAAAAGAGAGAGATTAACTCAAGATATACCCTATATTAATCCTGCTTCCTGGTGTGGCGCTGTGGGCTAATGCATCAGACTGCAAAGTCGTTTGAACTGCAAAGTCGGTGGTTCTAGCTCACCAACTGCTCCTTGGAAACCCTATACAGGGTCGCTATGGGTCAGAATCTACTTGATTGCACTTAACAACAACAACAATTCTGTTTCATTCGCATAACAAAGAAAACCCATTTCCAAATGGGATTATAACCAACCGAACACCTAGGTATTAGGATTTAAAGTATATTTTTTGTGGAGGACACACTTCAACCCACAACAGCTACTAACCACATGGCGGTTCTAACTGCTCAATGTACTTGGATAAGCGTGCTTGGTTTTTGTTAGTTACCACTGAGCCGACTCTGATTCTGTGTGCACAGTAGAACTGCTCGGTAGGGTTTTCAAGGCTGTGACCTTTAGAAGAAGATTGCCAGGTCTGTCTTCCTAGGCACCTCAGGATGGAGTCACCCTTTTGTTTAGTGTTGAGTACTTACTGTTTACACTACCTAGGAACTCCCTGCAATCATTGAAAACCCTCTGGAGCCCACTATTGGTGGGAATGTAAAATGGTACAGCCTTCATGGAAAACAATGTGTAGGTTCCTCAAAAAATGAAAAATACAACAGCCGTTCTTGTTAAGTGCTGTGGAGTTGGTTCAGACTCATAGTGACCCTGTATAGGGTTTCCAAAGAGTGGCAGATGCATTTGAATCACCAACCTCGTGGTTAGCAGTCCAATGCTAACCAGGACTCCAGCAATTGCATTGCTAGGTATACCCCCAAATTCCATCCTAGTTATACATACACCCAAAAAACTTGAAAGCAGAGACTCAAACAGAGATTTGTTCATTGCAGCACTATCCATCCAAAAGGTGGTTACAAATGCCCTTCATCAGATGCATACATAAAATATAGTACATAATACAATGGACTACTCAGCCAGAAGAAACAAAGTATTGATACATGCTACAATATGCATGGAAATTGAAGACATTATGCTAAGTGAAATAAGTTAATCACAAAAGGGCAAATACTATATGATCTCACTTACATAAAAAGGCAAGAAAAGAAAAATGTATAGAGCCTGTATTCATGGATACCAGTTTCAGGGACTCTTGGTATGGCACTGTAGGATAAGCATTGGACTGCTAACCATAAGGTTGGTGGTTCGAACCCACCAGCTGCTCCTTGGAAACTCTATACAGGGTCACTATGAGTCAGAACTGACTACACAGCACTTAGAGACAACAGTTTCAGAGAGGAACCCGATTGGCACACTGGTTAAGTACTCAGCTGCAAACTGATAGGTTAGCAATACCAACTCACCAGCTGATTCATGGGAGACAGCTGTGGTAGCGTGCTCCCGTAACCACTGTTGTTATTAAGTGCTTCAAGTCGGTTCTGATTCATAGCGACCCTATGTAGATAGGGTTTTCATGCAGTGGCTGGTGGGTTTGAACTGCTGACCTTGTGGTTCAAACCGACCGTGAACCACAGTAGGACTCCCTTGTAAGGATTCTGTTGTTGTTATTATGTGCTGTGGAGTTGGTTCTGACTAACAGCGACCCTGTACAGGGTTTCTGAGGCTGTAAATCTTTACAAGATCAGAAAGCCTCATCTTTCTCCCACGGAACAGCTGGTAGTTGCGAACTGCTGACTGTGAGATTAGCAGCCCGATTCGTAACCACTATACTATGTAAGGATTGTTGTTGTTGTTAAGTACTGTGGAATTGGTTCCGACTCATAGTGACCCTGCACAGGGTTTCCGAGGCCGCAAATCTTTACGGGAGCAGACTGTCTCATCTTTATTCCGCGGAACCTCTGGTAGTTTCGAACCGCCGACCTTGAGGTTCGCAGCCCGATTGGTAACTACAGCCTTGGAAATCCTATAGACAGCTCTCCGCCCTATAGAGACACTCTGAGTTAGAATGGGCTCTATAGCAGTGGGTTTGGTTTTGTTTGCGGGGGGTGGGGGGGGAGGGCACCAGGGACAAGAGGGAGGGGAAATTCACAGTCATGGGAATGTAAGGGTAGTTACACCACTGATTATTGTACTTGCTGTCGATGGACTGCACACCTGTAAAAACTTGAATTGGCAGGGGGGGAAAACACACTCACGATGGAATACAGTTCTACTCTGATACCCATGAGGCTGCCTCAAACATTTGAGTTGGCTTGATGGCAGCAGGTTGACTGTTATTACTGTCATCATCATCAGTGTTAAGAATGGGATCCCCTTGGTTAGAGTGGGAGGTTGTACCTAGTCCCTGTTCTGTCACTGCCTTGCTGTGTGTCCTTGAGAATAACCCAACCTCTCTGGACCTCTGTCTATGAAATGACAGGGTTAGACTAGTCCAGTGAACCCCAGAACATGATATTGTTGCTGATGTTCCATGGCTCGTGGAAGAATTTTCTAAACTCTGAGTTGGATGATCATTTCGATGTCAACTAGGGAAAATGTACCCTGCATCTCCCATCTGGGTTTTCAGAAAGCTGTTGCCCAAAGAAGGTGTTCAGCTGCCTATTTGGGGTGTCATTTAATACAGATTCCCCTCACCGCTCTCTTCTCTCCCCACAGGCTCCGCGAAGTGAAGTCTACTTTGACCTGGGCTGTGTGGGGTGGGGCCACTTGATCCCAGCTCCCCAGCCCCCACAGGGACCAAGCTGGAGCCCAGCCCTGTTCTTCACTCCTTCCTGTGATCTAGCCCTTACTCACCTCCTTCCTGTTTCTCAAAAACCCTTCCCATATTCCCTATACTGAGCCCCTCCCTTGCTGACCCCTCATGGGACACCTCTTTTTGCTCAGTCTTCTCCTCCATTTCTCTATTTACTTACTTCTTACTGGATACTCCATAGCCCTACCCACATTGTCGGGGCTTTTGTTTAATACTCCCCAACTTTAGCCTGTCTTATCTCCATATGGTTCTGTATAGTTCCAGTTGCATCTAGAACATTCCCTTCCACCATTACTCCAACCTGGGCACACTCATTTCTTAGCTCTTCCACAAACACCTCCTTCTCAACCCAGGCCTACTGATACCTTTATCTCCTTTATAGACAACCCCCCCTTGGGCATTTTTTGTGTTACCTCACCACTCCCTGGGTGTACTGTGATTGGATCGCTAAATAACTTTCCTGACCAATCTTTTTATTAATCCTACCACCTTACTTCATCCCTCTTCTTTCTTCTCCTTGACCTCTCTCCTGCTTGCCCACGGTTTAGGTTCAAAGTCAAACTCACCTCCTCCCTGGGGCCTGCTTCCTGCTATGTCCTCCTGAGCCTCCAAGGAGGGGGCTCAGGGGGCCGATGGCCTCCCGTCCCCGGCGCCCCCACCGCCCCTGTGGGCTAGGGGAAGTACCTCAACAATGGGCAACAACAGCACATGGGAGGGCTGCCACGTGGACTCTCGCGTGGACCACCTCTTCCCGCCCTCTCTCTATATCTTCGTCATTGGCATCGGGCTGCCTACCAACTGTCTGGCCCTGTGGGCGGCCTACCGCCAGGTGCGGCAGCGCAACGAGTTGGGCGTCTACCTAATGAACCTCAGCATCGCCGACCTGCTGTACATCTGCACGCTGCCCCTGTGGGTGGACTACTTCCTGCACCATGACAACTGGATCCACGGTCCCGGCTCCTGCAAGCTCTTCGGGTTTGTCTTCTACACCAACATCTACATCAGCATCGCCTTCCTCTGCTGCATCTCTGTGGACCGCTATCTGGCTGTGGCCCACCCACTGCGCTTTGCCCGCCTGCGCCGCGTCAAGACAGCGGTGGCTGTCAGCTCGGTGGTCTGGGCCACGGAGCTGGGTGCCAATTCGGCGCCCCTGTTCCATGATGAGCTCTTCCGCGACCGCTACAACCACACCTTCTGCTTCGAGAAGTTTCCCATGGAGGGCTGGGTGGCCTGGATGAACCTCTACCGGGTCTTTGTGGGATTCCTCTTCCCCTGGGGCCTCATGCTGCTGTCTTACCGCGGCATCCTGCGTGCCGTGCGGGGCAGCGTGTCCACAGAGCGCCAGGAGAAGGTCAAGATCAAGCGCTTGGCGCTCAGCCTTATAGCCATTGTGCTGGTCTGCTTTGCGCCTTACCATGTGCTCTTGCTCTCACGCAGCGCTGTCTACCTGGGCAACCCCTGGGACTGTGGTTTCGAGGTGCGTGTCTTCTCTGCCTACCACAGTTCGCTGGCCTTCACCAGCCTCAACTGCGTGGCTGACCCTATCCTATACTGTCTTGTCAATGAGGGTGCCCGCAGCGATGTGGCCAAGGCCCTGCATAATCTACTTCGCTTCTTGGCCAGCAACAAGCCCCAGGAGATGGCCAATGCCTCGCTCACCCTGGAGACCCCACTCTCGTCCAAGAGACACAGTGTAGCCAAGGCTGTGGCATCTGGCTGGGCAGTGGCTCCGCCTTCCCAGGGGGACCAGGTGCAGCTGAAGATGCTGCCACCCCCAGGACTATGAGTCCCAGGGGTTCAGAGCCTAGACAAATCCCATGGTTGGCCCCTTCCCATGCTATGTGTATGCAAAGTGTATGTAAATAAGGGTGTGTTCATGTAAGAATATAAGATCCTAGGAAAAGAATGAGGTTGGTGTTACTGGCTAACCATGTTTTTTGGAAATGACTATCCCATGGTGTCCTAACAATTCAGTCTCAGTGTGCTTGACCCTGTGTCAGATGGTACTAGGGGACAGACTGGTGATCAAGACAGCCCTGTCCCTCAGTCCAGTGAGGAGGGGTAGACTCGTCACAAGAGTGGTCAGGACTTGGACAGGGGCTGGGATAGTCCAAGGGGCCACCTGCCCAAGTCTGCATATCTGGGAGGGCTTCCTGGGTGAGGGGATGAGTAAATTAAGTCAGATGTTTGGATTCCATTAAATCAGGATAAAATAGAAGAACGTTAGGCTTATTTCCAAGGAGAGCATAGAAGTCTGCAACACAATGGGAAGGTGGAAGGACATGGTCGCTGAGTGTAGAGGGCTGAGTTTTGTCTGTGGGAAGCTGCCAGATGTATAGTGAAGAGAGATCAAAAGACAGCAATACTGAATCTTGAGAGAAAGGGCATTCTCCAAGTAAGTCAGGATGGAAAGGGAGAAGGTCACAGTTCGAGTGAAGGGCAATCAGGGCAGACTGCCTGGAGGACAGCTGAACAGGGCTGACTTGACTTGGAAAGGAAACTCAGGAGAAAGAGTAAACATATTTATTTATTCATTCAACAGACTTCTGTTTGGGACAAGTACTTACTGTCTGTCTGGTCCTGTGCTGAGAGGGGCTAGGGACACAGTATGACCAAGACAGCCCGGTCCTGCTGTCTTTGTTATCTAGTGCTGCTATGACAGATATATTACAAGGGATGACTTTAACAAACAGAAATTGATTTTCTCACCGTTTATGAGACTAGAATTCTGAATTCAAGGCGCTGGCTCTGTCGCCTCTTTAGGAAGGTCCTTGTCTCTTTCAGCTCCTCTTTCTGGGTGATTTTCATGGAACTTAGTATCTCTCTTCCTCCAATTCTACTTATTTGCTCCTTCTGTAATATCTTTTTTATATCAAAAGAGATTAATTTAAAATATACCTTATACTAATTCTGTCTCATTAACATCACAAAGACAATTCATTTCCAAATGGGATTATAACCACAGTTATGTTGTTGTTGTTATGTGCCGTGAAGTCGGTTCTGACTCATAGCGACCCTGCATAGGGTTTCCTTTACGGGAGCACAATGCCTCATCTTTCTCCCATGGAACAGCTGGTAGTTTCGAACTGTTGACCATGAGATTAGCAGCCCGATTCATAACCACTACACCACCAGAACTCCTTAACTACAGGTATAGAGGTTAGGATTTACAACACATATTTTCTGGGGGCACAATTCAATCCATAACATTCCACTCTTTGGCCTGCAAAAATTCACATCCTTCCCACATGTAAAACACATTCACCCCATCACATCATTCCAAAAGTCTTAATCCAAGTCCAAAATCTCCTCTTTAAAATCATGTAAATCAAGTATGACTGAGGCAGTAGGCATATTCTAGCCTGCAGCAAATTTCTTCTTCATCTATACACCTGCAAAATCGAGAATGCAAGCTATCTGTTTCCAAAGTACAAAGTACGATGGTGGATATAGCACAATGTAGACACTTCCATTACAAATGGGAGACAGTAGAAGGAAAGAAAAGCGAACAGGCACCAAACTAGCTGCAGAAACCATGTGGGGGCCATGTCTGACTTCCTCTGGCTTCACAAGGAGGAAAGCGAATCAAATTCAACATCATCCCAAGACTGATTCCTATGAAGTGGAGGTCAGACATGCGTTCACCCTACAATCAATCTTCTTGACCTTATTCTGACACCATCCATTCCTTCCACAGCTTCACTCTCAGCTTCACATCTGGGTTCGCTAATCCATTGCAATGGCCACACACAACTCATAACAACACTCAGAATTAGGGGGTTTATTAGCGAAATGAACAGGGTACAATTCAGGATCACAGAAACTCAGGACGTAGCAGTTCTCCAGTCAGGAATGCCTCGTGTTCGGCCAAACTGCAGGTATGCCTCACTCTTGTCTTTGGCCTCTCAGCCATGTGGTCCTTTGGCCTTTGCCCTGTTCGGGCAAGTATTGTCAAGCTCGTTTAGCCATCTGTGTATGTCCAAAAGACACATTCTGCAAACCAGCCTCCTGTCTGTAGGCATTTAGCTTTACTCTGGAAGCCCATAGCTGCTCTGTCTGTCCACGCCACCACCTCTGCCACCACCTCTGTTGCCTCTGCTTTTCTAGGTTCGGATCTCACACTCCACTCATGCTCTTCTTTCTTGACGGTCCTGGTATATCCATCCCTGCTTCTGAAATGGCTCCTTTTAAACCTAGCAGGATGGCAAAAACGAACCAATCCCAGTCTAAGAGTCCTATACACCCTTATTTGCATGGTTCCTACTCAATCACTTGGTGGGAAGTAAGAAGTAAATTCTAAGTACCACACAAGTTAAAAAAACAACAGCAGCAGACCCGTTTATATTAGCTCCCAAATCTATTACTATGGAGTCAATTGTGACCCACCAGGGCAGACTAGGACTGTGCTTAACCACTCTGCCCCCAGGACTCTTCTCTTTTACTCTTGTTCTTGAGTGTCATGGAGTGGATCCCAACTCAAAGTGACCCTGTACAGGCTTTCCGAGGAGTGGAATTTGTATGGTTATGCACACTGATGGTTTTGAACTGCCAACCTTGTGGCCAGCAGTCCAATCCTTATCCTACAGTGTCACATGAGAACCCCCCACTTAAAACTCTTCCAGTCTGTACCCATTACTCAATTTCAAAACAACTTGTACATTCTAGGTATCTGGTAGGATAGCATCCCACTCTTCCAGTACCGAATTCTTACTTACCTAGTGCTGCCGAAACAAATAACACGACAAGGTGTCTTTAACCAATAGAAAGATCTTTTCTCCCTGCTTAGGAGGCTAGAAGTCTGAATTCAGAAAACTAGGGAAGGTTTGCTGTCTTGGTCAACTTTCAGGGAAGGCCCGTGTCTCTTTTGAACTTCTGTTTGTGGGTGAGCTTCATGACTTGGCAACTCTCTTTGCCCATCTCTGTTTCTTTGCTTGTTTGTTTGATTTCTTTTATATCTAAAAAGAGACTGACTAAGGCACACCCTACACATATCCCCCTCTCATTAGCATAAAAGAAACACCACTCATTTCTAAATGGGATCACAACCATGGATACTCTTTCCCATTGTCACAAGGTCGACTTATTCCCACTCATAGCCACCCTTATGGTCAATTCTAAGAATATAAATCTTCCAGCAGTAGACAGCCTCATCTTTCTCTGAAGGAGTGGCTGGTGGGTTTGAACTGCTAACCTTGCAGTTAGCAGCCCAACGCTTAACCCACAGCACCACCATAGATATGTTGTTAAGTGCCGTCGAGTCAGTTCCGACCCATAGCGACCCTGTCTAGGGTTTCCGAAGAGCAGCTGGTGAGCCGACCTTGCAGTTCAAACAGCTTTGCAGTCTGGTGTATTAACCCACAGCGCCACACTGGGTCCGAATTTGCAACACATAAAGATGACAGTTTAAGGACCAAGGTGTGCCTGACCCAAGCCATGGTATTTCCAATAACCTCATAAGCATGCAAAAGCTGGACAGTGAATAAGGAAGACTGTAGAAGAATTGATGCCTTTGAGTTGTGGTGTTGGAGGAGAATACTGAAAGTGCCATGGGCTACCAAAAGAACCAACAGATCTGTATTGGAAGAAGTGCAGCCAGAGTGCTCCTTGGAGGCCAGGATGGCCAAACTTAATTTCTCATACTTTAGACATATTGTCAGGAGGGACCAGTCGCTGGAGAAGAATATCATGTTTGGTAAAGTGGAGGGTCAGAGAAAAAGAGGACCCCCAGCGAGATGGATTGGCAAAGTGGCAGCATCAGTGGGCTCAAGCGTGGCAACAATTGTGAGGTTGGCCTAGGACCGGGCAGTGTTTCATTCTGTTGTACATAGGGTCGCTATGAGTTGGTACTGACTCAATGGCACCTAACAACAACAACATTTTCAGGGGGACACACAGATCACAATAAACAAGTAAATAAAAGAAAAACAATGTTTGGAATTGGTTAGTGCAATGAAGTAAAATAAAGCCAGTTGAGGGGACAGAGTGATCTGGATAAGGAGAATATGCTAAAGGAGGTGACAATTAACAGAGGACATGAGTGCAAAGACATGAAGGAGGAAAGGGATCAGCCATGTGATTATTGGGCAAGGAGCATTCCAGGCAGAGGGAATAGTAGGTGCAAAGACACTGAGGTTGGAGGGACAGCAAGTGGCTGGAGCAGTGGGGTTGGGGCAGGGAAGAGGAATGGGAGAGGAGAACATTGGGACACAGGGGATGGGATAGACCATGTGGGGACTAGTAAGTCTCTGCCTTTTATTCTGAGAATAAATGAGACCCCCGGTGGGGATCTGAGGAAAGGCAGGTTCTAACTTAACTTTAAAAAAATATATATATGAAACTTATTTGACGTTTTGTTGTGGTTGAGAATATACACATACTAGTACATACAGCAATTCAATTCAACCATTTCTACATGCCCAGTTCAGTGACATTCTTCAAGCAGTATGACCATCTTTACCCTCCGTTTCTGGATTGTTCCTCTCCCATAAACATAAACTCACGACCTGTCCCTAAAGCTTCATTGCTGTTGTCAATTTGATCTCAGAGAGTTCTTTTTTCTCAAAGAACACAACACTCCTGGCTGATTTAACTTTCAACAGGATCCCACTGAGTGGGAACAGAATATGGGAAGTCAGGGCAGGGCCCAGAGTGGAGTCCATTGTGATAGTCCAGCAGGGAATGCTGGGGGCTGGACCAAGGTGATGCTGGCGATGTGAACAAGCAGCCCATCCGTAATCACTTTGGAATTTATCTTGAAGGAATACTATGAGGGAGGAAACATAGGGCCTGTGAAATT